CAAATCCCAATTCCCCTATTGCTAGAAAATTTACCTCACCGTTTTGAACTGCCTTTTCCTCGTCTATTGCCTCTTTGACGGCACAGTGTGTTGTGAGGATTATATGAGTCAATACAATACGTATACTTTTAAAAAAATTTTGTTGTGAAATATATATAACAAAACATTTGCCATTTCAACCATTTTTACAATTTAGTGACATTAATTACGTTTACCATGTTGTGGAACCATCTACTATCCATTTCCTAAATTTTTTCCTCATCCTTAACAGAAACTCAGTGCCCTTTAAGCAATACAACCCCCCACCTCCCACCTGTCCCTAAACCCATTGCCATCAAGTCAATTCAGACTAGTAGCAGCCCTATAGACAGAGTAGAACTGCCCTATAGGGTATCCAAGGAGCGGCTAGTGGATTCAAACTGCCGACCTTTTGGTTAGCAGCTGAACGCTTAAGCACTGCACAGTCAGGGCTCCCATCTGCCCATAATAACCACTAATAAACTTTGGCTTCTATACGTTTGCCTATTTTAGATATTTCATACAAGTGGGATCATACAAATTTTTAAATAATATTTTATTGTGTTTTCAGTGAATGTTTACACAGCAGTTTAGGTTCCCATTCAACAATTTCTACACAAATTGTTCAGTGACATCAGTTACACTGTTCACAATGCATAAACAGTCTCAGTATTTCCATTCTGGTTGTTCTGTTTCCATTAAACTAGTTTCCCTACCTCCTTACATTCTCATCTTTGTTTTAAAGTAATTGTTGACCATTTGGTCTCATATAGGTGATTTTTCAGGGAACACAGTACTCACAGGTGATATTCGTTATTTTGTGAGCCAATCTGTAATTTAGTTACAAGGTGACCTCAGGGGTTAGTTTTGGTTCAGGGTTTAAAGAACATGTCAGGGTAATAGTCTAGCGGAGCCCTCCAGTCTCAGCCAGACCAGTAGGTCTGGTTTTGGGTTTTTTTTTTTAGGAATTTGAGGTTATATTCCACATTTTTCTCCCATTTTATCAGGGTCCATCTGTTGTGGCCCTGATTAGAATGTTCGATAGTGGTAGCTGGGCACCATCTAGTTCTTCTGGTCTCAGGGTAGACGAGGCCGTGGTTCATGTAGACTATTAGTCCTGTAAACTAGTTTCTTCTTTGAGTCTTTGGTTTCCTTCTTTCTATTTCGCTCCAGACAAGTAGAGACCAATAGTTGTATCTTAGATGGCCGCTTGCAAGCTTTTAAGACCCCAGACACTACTTACCAAACTAGGATAGAGAATATAGCTTTATGAACTATATTATGCCGATTGACTGAGATTTTTCCATGAAACTATGATCCTAATCCTTCATACCCAGAAAACCAACCCCATGAGGTGTTTGGTTATGTTTAAGAAGTATCTATAACTGTACCCCCATGTACTTTATCATATATATGAATATATGTGCATACAGTCACACACATGCGTATACATATATATATGCCTATCACACATATATACTCACATATGCATACCTATACATATATATGCTTGCATAGATACATATATACCCACATATATATTTTTTGGTAGTTTTTGCCATTGTTTCAAAATCATATATGCCATAGCAATTACCAACAGGTCCTTTTTTCTTGTGTGCATTTAGTGACATCATTTACCTTTGTCAAGCTGTGTACACTTCACCCTCATTTGGTGTTACCTTTGGGCTCATACAGTATTTGTCCTTTTGTGTCTGACTTACTTCACTCAGCATAATGTTTTCAAGGTTCATCCATGTGTTGGCAGGTATCTCAACTTCATTTTTCTTCATGGCTGAATAATATTCCATTGTATGCGTGTTCAACGTTTTATTTATCCATTCATCTGTTGATGGACACTTGGGTTGTTTCCACCTTTTGCTCCTGTGCATAGTGCTGCAATGAACAATGGTGCACAGGTTTCTGTTTGAGTCCCTGCTTTTAAGTCTTTGGGGTATATACCTAGAAGTGGAATTACAGGGTCATATGGTTACATGTTTCTTAATAGGGCTGTGTAGTATATAATATTCTGGATCTCGCTTTCTTCACTTACCATCTCCCTGGTCTCGGTGGTCCCCAAAGTACCCTCTGCCAGGCCCCTGCTGGCAAAAATATCTTGGGCATATTTTCATAAATAAATAGATTCCCCAAACCAAATCAGAGCATCTCTTAAACTCAGGACCTTATGGGACATCCAAGACCAGTTGTCGGAGAAATTCTGAGAAGGATAGATAGATGTGGTTGCCCAAGCCGGGAACAGTGTGGCCATTTTCTGACCTACCTAGTTGTCCAGTCATCTTAGCTGTTAGAGACATCCCTTTGGCTGGAAACAGGAGCCTACATGGTGGCTTCTGCCTTTCTGGAAGAGTTCCGGCCAATATGGCAGCCCTTACTGAGTCACAGGAGACTAAGTCCACACACTAGCCTAGAACAAGAGCAAGACTGCTTCCTTGAAATACGGAATCAACCCTCGTGAGGGCTAATAGCTATACCTCGGACAAACCAACAGCACCACCCAGAAGGTCAGGGATCAGGTACGGCTTCCAAGGGTCAAAGCAAGAGAAACCTCCACATCAGAGAAGGGGGATGTCAATCAAGGTTCTTAATTGCTAGCTAGAGAAACCTACTCTGGATGATGTAAGCAGCTAATGAATTTATTAAACTGATATTTCTAGGAAATTTCCTGCAAGGCTGGAGCAGTTGGTTTGGAAAATAGGTGAGAATAAGGGAGAACCATGGCCACAATCTCTCTACCAAACCAGACTGGTGAGGACGCCCTGCTGCCACTGCTAAGCCGAGATACCACAGCTTGCCCAGTTGCCACACTCAGCACTGGACTCTAGACCCAGCCACTGGAAGCTATGGCTGCACCATTGCTCCTGCCCATCCCAGAGGATTCTCTGCCATCCTGTTTCTTTACACTGGCTCCTTATTCAGAGTCTGGGGCAAGTGCATGTGATTTGGCCCATGCCAACCTCTAGCAGAAAGGGAGGCTGGAAGGCAAGAGGCTGGCATTTTTAGCATCTATAATGGGAGGCAGCTTCTGACTCCCATCAAGACTCATAAGTGAGAAATTCCTAAAATAAAGCAAGAGAAGTTCAGATGCTAGGCAGTCAAAAGAGATGCCACTACAGAGACATCTGCCAGGTCAGCACCCAGGAGACAAGACCAGGTGAGGCATCGTGGTGCAGGAAAGAGAAGGCATTCCTCACCTAGGGAAACCAGGCCCACAGCAGGATCCTCAGAAACCTGCTGGACAGCCCTGGGTGGGATGTGGGGGGGCACTCAGGAGTCCTACACAGGGTTCATGCTCTGGAAGAGATGGAGGTTCCCAGGCATCCTAGAGGCAGCACCCAACCAGGTGGGCCTCAGGTGAGATCTAAGAACATCTCCGAAGCTTCCAGGCCCATTCAGAAACCTGCTCATGCTCCGCCTCCATTTCCTTTTAGTGCTCGTTGCTCTGTGTGGCCCCTTCCAAAGCCAACCAGTAAACCTCCAAGTGCCTGGTGGGTTTGTCAAGGTGTTTCCCACGTAGGTCCCTGCCCTTCTAGTCAGCCAGGTGTGGAGTGGGCAGCAGCAGCCCTACTGACCTGGAGTTTGGGAGTGAGAGTAGCTTGGGGCAGGGAGACCCAGAGGTCTGCCTTTGGCCAGCTGTCGTGGGCCTCACATTATAGAGAATGTGACTGGGAGTTGGGAAAGGGGAAGGGTTCCTAGGATAAGGAGGTTATCAGGGAGAGGAAATCACATTGATTGGGCATCTATTGTGCTCCAGCAGCAGCAGCATCAACAGGTAAACCAGTTTTTGCATGTTTACTGCATGTCTGATGTTGTGATAAAAGCTGGTTGTGCTGATGAGAGCACTTCAGGGTCTCCCAACTCCCCTCTTCCCCTGCTCTTACCCCAGTGGCTGGCACCCACATCCCCAGAGCAGGCAGGCCACTTCTCAGGGGGCTCCTGGGCACACCATACGGAGGTGGGCAGGCTCAAGGTACCTGCTCCATCCCACCCCCAGGACCTGCCCAGGTGTCCAGGCCTCACTCCTCACTCAACTCTAGAGACAATGCATGGGTTTAGCAGTCAAGAAATTTCGGAAATAAGCATGAATCGCTTTTGTGACAGGGGGAGGAGTAAGCCAAACTTTACACAAGTGAAGACAAGGCACACCAGACCACGTGCAGGAAGCGACATCTCTCCCACTGTGCAGTCAGCTCTCCAAGCCCGGCGACTGGGTCCTGCTTACCTCGTTGTCCCTCCTCAGCTGAGGCACAGTGTCAGGCACACAGCTCCACAAAAGCTGCTTTGCTCATTGTCCGAAGCCTAGAACAATGACTGGCACACTGTGGCCAGTCATAAATATTTGCTGGCTAAGTGAATGTAAGTGGGTTGTATGTTAAAACTAGCCGTCTTCCAGCCGATTCCAACTCATAGCAACCCCATGTGTGTCAGAGGAGAACTGTGCTCCAGAGGGTTTTCAATGCTGATTTTTCAGAAGTAGATTACCAGGCCTTTCTTCCAAGACACCTCGAAGTGGACTTAAATGGCCAGCCTTTCAGATAGCACGTTGACCATTTGCATCACCCAGGGACTCTGGGCTGCCCGTTTAGTCTCTGGACAATACGTGACATCTTTTTCCACTTTCCCCTTAAGAGTACTTGTCACACACCCTATTCTAGCATACCCCGCCCTCGCCCTCCTGCAGTCTCACCTCCTGGCCCTCCGAGGTCCCCAAATTTCTGTCTGCCCGGCCCCTGCTAAGCTCTGCCAAGCGGCCGTCTTGCCCCCTACCTCAGGCCCAGCAACATGCCATCACATTGCAACCAAACTGGTCTAGTTTCTCAGTAGTTTTATTGAGTAGCGATAGGTACTGTCACTTCCCACTGGACACGTGTCCTCAAGCTCATACCAGGTCTGCTTTGGGACGGACAGACAGACAGGCAGGGCAGGGCAGGTGGCAGTGGCGGTGGAGAGGGAGCACCAGGGACACCTCAGCTCTCCAGTGGCTCTGGAGCCTGCTTCTCCTCGGGGAGGGGGAGGGCGACGGGCTGGTCCTGGCTCTCTTTCCCCTTGAGCGTGCTGAAGAAGGAGTTGACCTTGTTCCTCAGGTCCTTCTCCAGGAAGCTCAAGTGGCCTTCCACGTCCCCCGCAAATGGGCCCAGCTTCTGCCTCAGCTCCTCTACCTGCTGCACCAAAGCTTTGTTGAAGGTCTCGCCGTAGGGCCCCACGTTGCGGCGGAACTCCTCCACCTGGCGGTCCAGTTGGCTGCTTAGCTCGGCCAGCGACTCCTGCAGCCCCTCGGTGTTGCCCTGCAGCTTGCCACGCACAACCTCGGCCACAGATTGCAGCCTTTGCCGCAGTTCGTCTGCTTGGGCCTCGATTTTGGTCTTCAGCTCCTCGGCGTTCTTATTCATCTGGAAAGCCAGTCCCTCGAGCTGGTGGTTGAGCTTCTCCTGGACGTCCTGGGCATAGGGGGCCAGGCTGCGGCGCAGCTCCTCCACGTTCTGGTCGATCTTAGTTTTGAGCTCGTCGGCGTAGGGTGCAAGTTGCCCCTTGAGATTCTCCACGTTCTGGTCGATCTTGACCTTGAGCTCATCAGCGTAGGGTGTCAGGGAGGCCTGCAGGTTGTCCATGTTCTCACGCAGCACTGTCTCCATGCGCTGCGCTAACGGAGTCAGCTGGCTCCGCAAGTGCTCAGCCTGCGCGTTGACCTGGGTGCGCAGCTCCTCCGCGTAGGGCCCCAGGCGCTGCTGTAACTCGCGCACGTTGTCGCCGATCTTCTGGCTCACTTCCTCGGCATGGGGCAGCAGTCGGGCCCGCAGATCCTCCAGCTCCTTCCGAATCTCCTCCTTCAGCCTCTCCGAGTCCTTGATCAGGCGCTCATGGAGCTCTGTGGCGAAGGGCACCAGCTTCTTCTGCAGGTCACTGGCGTAAATGTTCACGTCCTCAAGTTTGTCCTGGAAGAGGGTGCTGCAGGGAAAGGGCACAAGGGGGCCACCATTACACTTGGCATCTCATGACAGGACCTTGTCCTCTTATAAACCACTCACTCAGTATGCACTTGCCTACCTCATCTTTTTCCTTGTGGCCCTCCCCATGGTGGCTTTGAGAGACTGATAAGATAGACTACAGTTATTACACTGATTTTATCTCTCTGGATCTCTACGCGTCATGTGACCGCAAACAGTTTGCTTTCCCTTCCCCCTTCTGTAAAGTAAAGAGTTTGGACTTTGAGGTCCTTCCCAGCTCGGGCGTTCTGTGACATAGGCTCACATTCTATAAGAGAATGTTGTGATCTGGGTCCCTTCCAGGTCTTCCAGGGAGACAAGGTGCTGATTTCCTTGCATGTGCCCACCCTGAGAGGCTGCCCAAATACCCCTATCTCCTTTCCCATGATCTCACTAGAGCCTGTCCCTCCGGAATGTATTAGAGCCCAGATCACATTACATTTCCCTCCCACCCTTTCTTCCATGAGCCTCATGGCTAGGATGTGGCCCTTTGTCAAACCAGAAAGTTAAAGCAGATAGGCACAGTAGGGATCATTCAGTCCAACCTCCCTGTTTACAAATGGGGATGCTAGGCCCGGAGACCCCAGGGTCACCCAGTGAATTAGTGGCAGCGCAGTGGGTGTTCTAAGCTCAGGTCTTCTGCCTCCCAGCTCAGCCCTTGCCAACACAGTGCGTGGCCTGTAGGAAGTCCTGCCCTGCAGTCTGTGCCCCTTCTTACTTGAGCCGCTGGGTGAGCTCAGACTTCTGGAGATGTTCCACAGCCACCTTGGCATTGTTGCTCAGCTGGCTAAAGTAGCCCCACACCACGTTGGCCACCTGGTCAGGGTTGACCTCAGCCCGGGTGCCTGGGCAGGGAACAGAGAGGAATTCATGAAGCCCCGTCTCCTCCCTTGCTGCTCTGCACAAGCCGGGAGCTGCAAACCAGATGATGCTGGGGGAGCCCAACCCACCGTTCCCTTCTCTTCGCTTTGCTAGTTGGAAGCGACAGGGGCATGTGAAACTGATCTAGCACCAGTACCAGTGGGCCTATGCCTGGATATGGACCAGCTGTCCTGCAAGCCACTTGGCAGCTAGGCAGCCCCCTTGTGTCCAGCTGAGGGCTGACTGGCATTCAGAACTGTCCTCCCCCTTTGGCCCCAGTCTCTCCACCCTGTCCTACTCAATGCAGCAGCTAGGTCCTGCCTGACAACCCAATCCAGGGACAGCTTCTACTCACAGGTGACAGCCACCAGGGCCAGGACCACAGCCTTCAGAAACATCCTGGGCTCTTTGCTGGGCTGCAATGGCCCTGTGTCACACTGGATTCTTCCCACAATCCGAGGGAGCTGGTGGAGAAGTCCCCAGGTAGCTCACCTGTGCTGCTGTTCGAACTGACTGAAGCTCAGAGCCAGCCAAACATTTAAACCCCCGCCAGGCTGCACTCCTCGAGTCCCTCCACGGGGTAACTCCACGCTGGAAGGTGACACATTTCTAGGAGGCCTCTTGGACTTTAGTGACCCTAAGACGACGTGGAGGCTGATAGCAGACTGGGGCTTAGAAGGCAGTCAGAAGCTGTTCTGTGCTTGAGCCCCACCCAGTATGGAAGGGGGAGGCAAGAGCTATGGGAGAAACAGAGCCCAGGAAAGTCCCTGAGCCTGGGGCTGAAGCCCCAGAGGCCCTGCTGGAAGCCCTGGATCTGTGCCAGTCTTGAGGGGCAAAGTCCATGTCTCTTCTGTTGCCCAGTAGAGAGAGCCCCCCACCCCACATCTCCCACCAACGCTGACTCCGTCTTGAGAGCACCACACGCTGGACTGGGACCATCCAGATGTGAGAAGAGCTAAGCTCTAGGTCTCTTGTCAAGGCACACCCAGGAGGAGGGGGTCCTTGAGAGCCTTTGGGCAGGTGGGTGGGGTGGGCAGAGACTCGCATTGAAGGGGCTCATTATAAGTGTGCTCCATGCCCCACCACTGCCAAGCTGTGCAACTTAGGTCTAGTCATTCAATGTTCCAAGCCTCAATTTCTCTTCTGAAAAATGGGACTGTTAGGTACGTTAAATGAGATGTTTGTGCAGTGGGTAGTATCGTGCCTGGCACAGAAGAAGCACTAAAAAGTAGTTGTTATCATTATTAATAATGATATTGTTTTTCTGATTTGGACCAAAGCAAGATGTGGAATGCTAGGCCCTCTGGTGAGAGTGGCAGAAGTTAGACCTACCCCTCTGGGGGGTCACCACATGGGCTTGAGACAGGGTGGCGGGGGCAGGGCTGGCCTGAGGCCTGATTCCAGGTCCCTGCAGTGGTGTGCCCAAGCCCCCCCACCCCCAAGCCACACTCCTGGGCAGGAGTGGTCCGCCTGGGCAGAATCACAGGACCTGAGGCTCTCCAGAGGCCTGTCCATGGGGGAAGGGGATCAGTGGTGGTGATGCCTAGGAGGTCCCCTGTTTAGACTTCTAACATTATCTCCAGATGAGGTTACACTCACAATCACAGGAAGATGAGTCACCAACAAGATGACAAACCATGGTCTACTTTGGTCCCTCCTCTGGAACACACTACATTTAGTGACCTATGAAATAATGTCCATCATATTGCGCTGCTGGCTCCTCTCCATGAGCACAGTGACCAACACAATCGGTGGGCTCCCAGTTATTTGTAAAATGAACGCCATTAAGAGTAGACCACAATTTTGCTAGCCCTGGTTGATCATGTCTTTATTTTTCTGATGGTTCATGGGATTGAAGAGCACTAAAAGGCATTCTGATCCTGACAGCCCTTCTGCAGGGTCCCCACCAGGTCCCCAGACTACTCATGGTCAGCTCTATGCCATCTCTCAGTAGTTGTGAAGAGTTTGGACTCTGGAGTCTGAGCGCCCGTGTGTGCATGTAGGCTCCATCATTTACTATCTGTATGGCCTTGGGCAAATCCCTTAACATCTCTGAGCCTCAATGGCCTCAACAGGGCACATCCTCCTAGGCTGTGAGGATTCAATGAGATAATCTGTGTAATGCTTGGAATAGTACCTGACACATAGTACCCACTAACCCATTGCTGTTGTGTCGAATCCAACTCATTGCAACCCTATAGGACAGAGTAGAACTACCGCATAGGGTTTCCAAGGCTGTAAATCTTTATGGAAGCAGACTGCCACATCTTTCTCCTGGCACACAGTAAGTGCTCCTTAAATGTTAGGCCATCTTCACCTCTGAAAGGTTTACCTCCCAGTGGGAACATTGACGCCGCGGTCCTGGTCCTGCTTCAGAATCAGGTACAGTCCAGCCTGGGGTGGGGTGCACAGTGTCAGTGCTCAGTCCCCCACCCCTCCCCTCTGGACCAGAGATGAGGAGGGGAGTCACAAAAGACACCTCAGCTGCAGTTTGACCTCTTGGACTTAGAGTCTGAGCGGCAGGAGCTGCCAGCGTGTGGAGGGTTCAAGGAGACCTGTCTTCTCACCTGGAAGTGTCTGCGCTGATTGGAGTGTGTCTGGAGTGTCTGCCAGGATGTGTACAGATTCACATAAGTGTGCAAATATTTTAACTGTTGGTGGGCACAGAACTAAGCCCCAGAGCTGAGGGGTTGGCGTCAGGCCTGCGTGTGCACGCACAGCTGCTGGGAAGGCGTGGCGTCACAAGGGGTTGTAGATGGCAGCACTGTTAACACAGGCATTTATTTCCAAGAGTCTGTGGGTACATTTTGTTTCGGTCTGTAAATGGGGTTGAGCTAGGGGGAGAAAGAGAATGAGACACTTTCCTGTGAGGCCTCTGCTTGGCCTTTGGGTCCAGGTGCCAGCACTTCCTGTAGGACCTTGTGGAGGGAATCAGGGGAAGTCCACAGTTGGTGGGCATAAACAGCCTGTGTGATCTTGGGCAAGTCAGTCCCCCCTCTCTGAGCCTCAGTTTCATGTCCTTGTTTGTACAACAGACAGACCTAATGGTCAGTGAGGTGATAAGGCTGGTAGTTCAGCATTAACTTATAGCCACTCCTCTTCTGTCTACCCTCACAGGGATCAACCCAGGGGTCAGCCTCAGGAGGAATGGCTCAGGCCCTGCTGAGGGCAGACAGCCAGGGACAGGCAAGTCACACTGACACACATCCTCACATATGCTCCCCAGTGGCCTTCCTCCAGGGCAGAACTAAAGAGAGGGAGCTCCTGTTATAGTAGGAAGGATTTGGGTGAGATACTAGGAGGAACTTCCAGCGTGGAGAGATGTGGGTAAACAAGGGCCTCTGGCTGGCAGGACTAAATCAGGTCCAGCCTGGCAGCAAGATCCCAGGTCAGATGGGCTCACGTACTAAACCTCACCTGGACGCAAGGAAAGCAGGAAGTCGACCCAGCCCCAGAGGACCATTTTTGTCCCAGCTAGTCAATCCCCCTCCTTATTCCCACCCACCCCTGACTACTCCCCAGAGCCTGTCTGTGGGCCAAGCCCAGAGCAGTCTTCTCATTCCACCCCATCACCAAAGTCTGCTCTCAGAAAGACATCTGAAACTAATTTACTCTGAAATGCGAGTGACTGATAAGTCTTCAAGGGTCTCATCTCTCAAGCCTGTTTAGTACCGGACTGGATGTTGAGAGGCCTGAGCTCCAGATTCTGACCTTGTGCAGTTGGGGAGGTCTTTTCCGCCTCTGAGCCTTAGGTTTCTCACCTATAAAATGGGGTTTATACACATAAATAAAAGGAAAGAAAAAAAATCACATGATCATCTCAATTGACGCAGAAAAGGCATTTGACAAAGTCCAACACCCATTCCTGATAAAAGCTCTCAATCAAATAGGT